AGCGATGCTAAGCATCTCGGTAACGAATTTCCTCTGTCATACTTGATGTTTGTTGTCACTTATTGTTAGGACTAAAAACAAAGGACGTTTTCAGGAGAAAGTCTTATAACAAAACAAAGCATAGGAATCTTAAAGTATTTGAGATTAGCGTGATGTATGTGGATGAACCAATAAAGGAGGACTTGTTTATTTTCGATACGGAACGTGGCAAGTTGTACGACCATTCCGATCAGAAGAAAGTCATTGACGCATTGTGCTGTTGTGTATTTCTCGCTGCACCACTGCACTAAAATTTTAAGTGAGAATGGGAAAGAAAAAAGAAAAGACGTGAGAGTATCCTGTAAAGCATGGTAAAGTATTATGCTATATGCAGTCCGAACAGGGAAGAAAAGTCACGGTGCATTTGACCAAGTCCAATGATGATCAGCTGATGATGTTGACAGTTTGATTGCTGATAGTATTTTCATCAGGTAATTATTTAACTATTCATTTTACTGAAAGTTATGAATGATCTACAGACTACGGATTTAAAAACGATGAATAAACAGTACAAGGATGTCAGGATGTGACTAATATCCCAACATTGCCAAAAAATAAAAATGCATTCATTCAAGAAATTATGAAAAATAAAATCCTTGCTTTTTTGGGCCTAATATTTGTAACATTATTGGAACAGGTATTAAAGTGTTCAAGTTACCTTTTTAAATGAGGTTTGATTTAATTAATATCTCATTTTCTAATTAATAAAAAAGAGATACAGATTGTGTATGACAAGAACATTAATTTTCTTGATCAAGCATTTGTAAATTTTATAATAATTTCATATTGATTCTTCATTTATTATATTGGAAATTTATTCATTTCATTGAGTGAATGAAAATCAGTGCAATTCCTTATGCTATTCTTTAAATGTTTTTGTAAAAATGAACACATATAATTTCAGATCATGGGTCATTAATTGGAATAGATAAGAACCAAAAAAAGTACTTCAGTGTTTCCATAAAAGATTTGTGCCATCAATCAAAGTAGAGGTCATCCCATATCAGCTCAAGAATATTAACAATGGAGATTTGGAGAAGAAATTCTGACTTGTTATACCCAATGCATATTTTTATAGTCTGTAGATTATAGGAGAAAATTTAATGTTTAACAATATACTATCTAGTATATATAGAGGATATTCAATGTTTTGTAGTTAAATATGGAATTTATTTCACGAGTGGGACAGGATTTTTTGATATTTTTCACAATTGCGAAGCTTGAGTGAAAATATAAAAAAATCCTGTCTCACGAGTGAAATAAATTCCATATTCAACTACAAAACATTGAATTTTCTGTTTATTACATTTTTAAAATAAATTCTTCGATTTTTCCTTTTTCTCTTTATTTTTTTAATACAGTCATAGACTCGTGACGTCATAGTTGAGAAGTTGAGACGTCATAGCTATGTGAAGTAAAAACACTGTAAACATGGATTTAGCAACATGTGTTTGGTAATTTTGACCATTTTATTCGTCGTCAGAATGGTTTATTTATTTCCATCTATCTTATATTAGGTCAAGGGAGATTTTCTTTACAGCAATCTTTGTTATGGGAAGGGAATTCGAGAGTTTTCCCGCACTTCTGATATTCGTCACACTGTGACAGGATATCATTTTGATATCTTTTCACAGTGTGACAGGATATCATTTTTATTCAATGGATAAATTACAGTATTTCACGGGTAAAAATGTAATAAACATGCTGTTTTCCATATATTTAGAAAATATGTGTGTGATGATTGCAGTACATGGAAATTAATACATGAACAATTAAGATTAATATTTTTATTTATTAAATTTTGTTCTACCAGGACCTAATATGCTCAAATAAGTATTTCTGAAAACTGATGAGTTTTTAATACATACATGCAAAGCTGCAGTGAACATGTATAATTATATCTGCTGTAACAGTTTAAAACATGACACTGGAAATTGCAAGGTTGTTAATTTAGTAGGAATGATAAGACCAGTTTAGTAATCTACTAAAATTAAAATCTTTCACAAATACACGCAGTTTATTTTAAATTGTTTACATTTATAATCTTTTGATTTTTTCTGTATTTTGATTTTAAAAAGGAGAAAATGTTGTTATATTTAAATTATTATGTCATCGATATCAAGGAGATATACATGTATCTATTACTGTAGCATTGTTTCTTTTTTCCTGTTCTTGACAAATATTTATGACAGTGTTATGTCATTTTGCAGAATCTTTGAAATCAGAAGTACTCTGTAAACTCATTAAAGTATGATTGATGTCACTTAGAATTCATCTTTATTTTGTTCTGTCTGATATTTCAATTTAGATTCTCAGACTACCTAATCCAATGATTGAGCTAATGTCCATGAAGTGTAGAAATAGGTCATCTTTAAAAAATGTTTGGTTGTCGGCCTCTCCAAACCGACTGACTAAAATGACCAGACTGAAAATTGTTTTTCAATGCAGAGCCAAATTTTTTCCCCTTTTATTCCTCTAATCCCCCTTAAAAAAATGTTGTTGAGGATTTTCTCACCTACCGATCCCAAAATTTTACCCTGAGTCAAGAGACTGGGCAAACCAACATTACTTTAAAGATAGAATTTCTAGAAATCATTTAATTACAAAAACAGCCGCTTCGTGGATACGATGCTTACAACATTTCACTCAAAAAATGGCATACATGTATAATGAGAGTCACCAGCCATAACTGAATAAAGATATTTGGCTACAAAGATGTCTAGAAGTTACTACATGTTGGAATAACTAAATCAGCATGAGGTCAAATTCATAAGATTTTGATTGGTTTAGTTGCAACATGTTCTGAAGTATGTTTATATACCTACATCTAAAGGTGTTGCAGTATAATTCATGGACAATTTCATCAGAATATTCAGATGTAAAGATAGCTATAAATACTAGAGTTCTTCCATGGAATAAATTTTTAGACCATCATGTAGCACAGAAGGAGTTTTATTTTGAATATTTTTGGCCAATTTATGCCTAAAAACAATATCAAAAATAATGTGTAGTCTTTAACATTCACCAGGACAAGGTGATATCAATGTTGCCTTTAAAAGTGTAGAAAAAGCCTGATTTTTATGTTCCGAACCCATAATATAGCCCCTGTTTCCATGGAAATAATATTGGGGACATACATATTTTTTTAGTTCAAATTAATGAAAATGATCAAATTAATAACTTCATGGATTTTGATGGAATCGTTAGATATATAAAACGTTGATTTTTACATTTTTGTTACCATGGCAACGGTTTCACTTTATCATGGAAAATTGAAAAATCCTCTTTTTTACCCAAATTTTCTCATTTTTGATAACGGAAAATTAAAAGTTTAAATAATATAAGCATTAATTATACTAATTCAGGTCATTTTAATTATAAAAGTTTGATAATTAATAAAAAAAATCAATTTTTTCAATGAAAATGATATTCGAGGTGAAATATGAAATACGTTAAATTTGGCGTCTTTTACTAAAAAAATGGGACGGGCAATATCTTTGAAAATCATATTAAATGATGAAGCTAATCTCCCTGAATAAATTGATATATGGCATGTGTGCATATTAAAAAAAATAAAAGTTGGAGGGAGACGCAAACCTTACCTTAAACTATACAAAATAAATACCTAAAGTGGGGACAAAAAATTGTCAGTGTAAATCGAAGGTTTTTACAACACTTGGATCTGTAGTTCTCTGTGTTATCTGTCCGAATTTTCTCAAGCAGAGAGCTACAGCAGCTAAGTAACACGCCTCTCTCAGTGATGGGAAAAGAGATAACACAAGAAAACTTTATTGCTTTGATTATCCAGGAATTAGCTCAATTTATGTCTAAGACAAATCTGTAAAAGGTACAGGTAATTCTCGATAAACCGCCACCTTTTGTAATTTAGAAATCATGGCGGTATAACGAAATTGGCGTTGAATTGAATTTTCCATCTTTTAGGAAACAAGAAGAAGAGTTACCGTCCTTAGAAATACTATTTAGCGTTTCTATTCTTATGATTACATGTAGATGTATACATATAAAACATATTTCTAAATTTGAAACTACTTCAAGTAATTTTAATGTACAATTTCGTTAAAACAAAGTGTGCAGAAATAAAATAAAGACAAGTACATGTGTATGCATGTAAATCTGTACGTCTGATATTAAAAAAAACATGCTGGGTCGATCGTCGCGATATATTGCTGACAGTATGTCAAATTATTTCTTGAAAAAAATCGTTTGTGGCATCATTGTTAATGAAACGTTCACAATTTATACCGTATAATTATTTGTCAAGCAAACTTAGAATTGTTTATAGCAGAGATCATCCAAATAATATCGTATTCGGCGTACTTTAACAACGACCTGCTATCATGGCGAAACCGTGACTAAATGATTTTTATTAAACAGAAAACAAAATCATTATTATATAACAGTTCATATTAAAATTATAATAAATTGTTTATTTAACTTTTATTTAATTATTTAATTGCATGTACTTTGTCTGGCTTTGCATGCTTTACAAGAGGGATAGCGTCAACCAATTAGCCGCGCTTCACTGACCGCATGCACCTGTGGAGGTATATCGAGATAATTGACTCTTAAAAATGGACGTTTGTTGTGAAAACAGGGTGGCAGATGGCGGTATGCAAATTTGGCGTTATAAAGAGAATTTTATATAGCAGGAAAAACGTTCTTGGGAAATCATGGTGGTATTGCGAAAATGGCGATGAATCGAATGGCGATAATTCGAGAATTGACTGTATACAGAAATTTATAATGTAAGATATGGACATTGCTGTTCATATGCAAAGAAGTGCTCTTTATTTTAATAGATTGAATAACTAAAAGACATTCCTAATGCGTTCAATATGAATAACAAGCAACAAGAAATGGCAGATAATAATATCTGTCGTCTTTCCAATGTCATTTAGATCATAACTTCTTTAATTTGTAATTACGCTGATCAGTATTTCAGTGTGCTTTATTCCAGTTAACACTGACTGACCGATCATTAATGCCTGGGGACGTCATCAGAAGATTTGAGGAGGGTGCCAATAGTCAGAGAGGCTTTGTCCAGGACCTGATGGGAAAGTGTCACATCCATATAAGGGGCACCAACAAATTCCTGTACAATGTCAACAGCAAAGATTTATGCAGCATGAGAGTTGAAGAAATAGCAAAAAGGGTAACATTCTTAAAATCTTAGAATTAAATAAAATTTTACTGGAGCTGGGGTATCAAGAAATGAAAAAAATATACATTGATGATTTATTTCCTTTATCATGTTTATAGTTAGAAATTGATATCAACAAATTAAGATAAAGGTGCAATGCAGAAAAAGTCTATTTACACTATGTACTTTGTATTGTAATCCTACTTGCTGTTTTATTATAGCCCCTGAGTAACTCTTTCTGTGATGTAGTGATGGATTCCTGGGTTGGTAAAGTAGAGCGAGTTAACGAGGAGCTGATTCTCAAGTTCCCAGATGGAGCTCTGTGTAAAGTACAAGACACAGATCAGCTGGATGATTTTGAACCAGTCAAAGACCATGTGAGTTTTAACACTGCTAAGAAATTTAGCTCATATAACAGTGGAATAAAGTTAAGCTCATTAAATCAGGTTTGTTATTATTTTAAGACCCTTGCTTAACTGGTACTGGTGACATTTGTTTAGATAATTTTTTAATCTTTGATGATGTATATATATTGTGTGTTTTGTAGTACAAGTCCCTATGTAGCAGTGATACATTCCTTTACAAAGGGTTGGTAATGAAGGGGACTATAGGAGATCTGAGTGATGCTGTCTGGTTATCTACCACTCATAAACATGGACCAAAGGCTATCAAAAAATCACCAAATCATACCGTCACTGTACGCATTGAAGAGGTAAATAACATCTATCAATTATAAATATGGACCGAAGGGTTTCATATACATCATTCTGTATTCTAATATGAAGTAATTAGTAACTTTATATTAATGGAGTTCCTCAATATACCGGTAACCAATGTCAATCTATACAATTATATGTGTTTAAAAAAACTACCTTTTTGGGGGGAAATCAAATTAATTTCAAGCTAACCAGTTTTTCCCCAAAAAATGAGAGTTCATTGTAAGTGAGTTTAAGTTTGTTCTATATTACCTATAGTTTTAATACATGGTTTGCTTGTAAAACATAAGCTAGTTACTAAAGTAATTTTTTACTTTTAATCATAGGCAAGACTTAAGTCAGTGGAGGTGTACTGGATGTGTAGAGGATTTACCAAGTCAGATAACCCCCTCCTTAGAATGACGCCTCCCCCCTCCCTAGTACAGGAGCCAGACCTCCAAAGGTATTCATAGATTCCAAGTTGTATTTATCAAAATTGTCTTTAAATTGACCTACTGGTGTTAGTGGTGTATGTTACATTTTGTAGGAATAGAAATATGACTCATTTGAGCATTGTTGACCTTGATCCTATTGTTAATCTGTTATACCTGACAAATGGCTTTCTTTCCTTTTAAAATTGAATGAGACCAAATAGTTTTAATTTCCAAATGATTTTTTTTTATTTTGTAGATTACGGATTTTAGATTGGTTTTCACACTGCAGTCTGCAGATTGGTGATTTTGCCCAGTATGTCATTAAACCTAGTGATGATCTCACAGACATTCCACCCAAACAAAGCTTTATACCAGATATTCTACTAAGCAATCCAGCAGCTCAAAATGAATTGACAGGAAGTCAGTTACATGACACTAAAGATGACGCTCCTGATGTAAAGACAGAGGCCGAGGCTCTGGTCAATGGAGAGGTTCCTAATGAAGCAGGAGGAGCGGAGGATGATGAATACGAAGATGTTGAAACGACAGAGTCGGAAACCGAGGAAGAACAAGTTCAGAAAAAACACTCGTCCGCCCGCAACAGGCATAAAGGAAGAAAGGGGCGCAAATCTGGAGGAAAGAAAGGAGCCAAAAGGGCGAAGCAGACTGTGAAGTTTGAACCAGAAATCCCCAAGTGTTTACCTGGGGAGAAGGTGGCTGTAGGTGTTTGTTATACCTTCTCCACGGCAACCGTCATGTGGCAGGTAGGTTTGTCTGTATTGTAAAGATGCAGCCTACATTAATTTTGCACCTTTTGCTAAATTCATTAGAAAACTACTGAAATATTATTTGCCTAAAGGTTAAGGAGACATTGTTTCTGTTGATTTAATCACTTGAGAATTGCAACTAAATTTTACTTTGAAATGACAGGTGAAGATTGCAAGAGTGAAAAAAATATTTTAAGATTATTTTAAAATGCTGTTAAGATCAAGCATTATGTGTCCTCTATTACAGGACGGCACTGTTGAATCAGACATTCCCTCCCCTGTTCTCTTCCCCATACACTACCTGGACGAGCTGGAATTCTTCCCTGGAGATTATGTTGTGGATGCCAAAGGTAGGTTTACAGTTCAGATGGTAAAATATTTGAATACATGTCCAAAGTTTGATGTTACACAGAAAGATTTCTGATCTAGTAATGTCTAGCAATCAAATCCATCAAACATTAAAGAAATGCATTTCCATTTTTTCAGAAGTGGCCTTGAAGAACTGTGACTATGGTGTAGTTGTGAGCTGTAATCACAAAGAAAGGACATGTTTTGTCAAATGGATAAAGACAGTGGATATATACAAAGGAGAAAGGTGATTATCAACACATCAGTACAGATCAATAGAAAGTCATATATTACTAAATCACAAGTAAATATACATGTGATGACCTTTGTGAGAAGCTATACACTAAATACAAAACTGGATTGCGTTAGATGATTCTGTTGCTGTAACCACAAAAAATGTTCTCAGAAGAACAGACAAAACTAGTTCTAATTGTAACGGGGACCGTTACAGATGTTCCCCAAACGCTCCCCAACACCCTTTTTGTGCAAATTTCCTTTAAAACGTTTTTCAATATGCTTAGTATCGCAGGATTTCATAAAAGAATTTCTAAAAGCTACTATGATATAAACTTTTTCTCATTTAACGCATTGTTCGCAAACTCACGTGCATGCACATGCAAGATGATCATGACATGTTGTCTAAACCATTAACATAATAATATTTCTTTATATTCAAGAAATCAATAAAAAGTCATAAAAATATAAATTTTACCGTTTTTCAAACATATTGTTCATTTTACGCATTGCGTGTGCGCATGTGCATGCAAGCACGTCCTTGCATTCAATTTTGAAAGCAATATCATGTAGGAATCCATAATACCTATTCATATTCTAAACTTCGTCCTGTTTTGTTGAGAAACAAGAAAGTTATAGGCATGTAAAGTTTCAGCCAATCAGATTGCAGCACGGGTGGATTTATGTGCTTTCATGATAATTCTTATATATCATGCGGTAGATCATAATATGTGACTAAGTTCAAAATTTCAAAGGATTATGACGTAAAACAAGAAAGATTTTGAGACTTTAGTTTCAGCCAATCAGAGCAAAGCGCACGTGCATGCACGAAAGATCTTGCAATTTTGACCATGTCATCTTGTCCATACTACTACTCTATTCATGCATTGTGAGTTTCAAAAAATTCCATCAAGAAATAGAAAAGTTACGGCTTCATCCATTATCTTAGTAATTTCACATGTTGCACGTGCGCGCTCTCGCCAGCACACGCGCATGTACGTGCTTTCATGAAAATTATTATATATCATGCTGTAGATCTTCATATTGTGTGACTAAGTTCAACATTTCAATGGATTATGACGAAAAACAAGAAAGATATTGAGACTTTAGTTTCAGCCAATCAGAGCGAAGCGCACGTGCATGCGCGTGAGATCTCGCTATTTTGACCATGTCAACACGTCTATACTACTAATATATACTTATATTATGAGAATCAAAGCATATAATTAAAAAATAGAAAAGTTACGGCTCTATCTATTATTTTGGTCATTTCACGCGTTGCACGTGCGCGCTCTTGCAAGCATGTGCGCGCAAAATGACCTTCGTTCCGCAAATCTACATAATATGCCTACTGACCCTAAAAAGGTTTCACCTAAGTCGGACGTGTAGTTTTCAAGATCATTCGCGGAAAAGATTTTCCCAGGAAGAAGAAAAATAATAATAACTAGATATGATCTCGTTGCGAGCAACGAGAGGTCTTCCGTCCGATTCAGGAAAAAAAAACCTCGTAAAATCGAACTGAAAAGTGTTTCGAAATTTTGGTCACAAGAAGGATTGGATCCAGGTCGCCAACGTGAATGCGCTTTTTTCTCTCTTTTATCCCCAATGCGCAAACCATTAAGCTATTGGGGAACACTGCTCTTAATATACTTGTGTATACTTTTGCAACAGTATACCTGTCTAAGAATTATAAAAGGCGAACCACTATTGATAATTCCGCGCCAAACGCCACGAGTAAATATTTGCGCCTTTTCTTTGGACTGATCTATTAAATAGGTGTGATAGTTTCAATGAAAGTAAATAAATAAACCGTTCTTATCGCCTTTATTTTATTTCAACGTTAAGAGAGTTTATTTAACACATTGTACACATTACATATCGTACCCAGCCCAGTTACACTAAAGCAGTGAAACAGAAATTAAGTTTTAAGATTGACACTGAATTGCAACGTACTATTACGTGAAAGTCCAAGTAGTTTTTCATATTTCATGTATCCTTATGTCAGTATGGTTTAATCAAACGCTCAGCTGCCCCCATAAACCCCTACTCGCGAAATGGCGGAGTTGACAGAGACAGCCGCCATCTTGGGTCCGCTTCAGATTTTCAAATATTAATATCTAGAGTTCAGATTACCCAACATTCAAACAACTTATATAGTAAACATCAGTAAAAGGGTCTCTATTAACATTCCAAAAATAAATAAAAAATATTGAAAAACAAAAAAGTTAGAAAATACGCTTTTTTCAATTCGCATATCCTAACGACAGGAAGTATTGACGACGAACAAAAGGTCGCGTCCTGGTTAGTATCTATCACGATCTACAATCCCTGAAAGTTTCACATTGATATCTTTTACCGTTCTTGAGATTAACCACAGACAAAATGTCATTTTAAAATCAGGAAATGTCCCGTAACTTGGCACCAGATTGAAATTTTCAAGAAATCGCTCAGATAGATCAAGTTCATGTTACGACACATCTTTTCTGAAAATTTCATGTAATTCCATCCAGTAGTCTTCGAGAAATCGCGTGCACAAAATTTTGGAAAAAAAATAATAAAAAGAATAATAATAAGAAACAGTAGAATAACTATAAGGTCTTCCGTGAAGACGGAAGACCTTAACTAGAAACTCTTGTTGCTACAGCAACAAATAAGGTCTTCCGTTCTTCTCTATTTATCTGTAAGAAGGATATTTTTCTATTTTAAAAAAAATGCAAAAAAAAAAAAATAATAATAATAATTCCTCCATCTGGGCTCGATTTCAAAACCATTAGTATGAAAGGCGGACACGCTAACCACTGAGCCACCAAATTCCACAACATTTAAGGTATTTTCTAAGCTTATTTTTTTAAGGTTGAAGGAAATAGTTTCGAAGTGAAAGAAATAGTTTCGTAGTAAAGTCCAGGTCAAATTTCTTAAAAAACTGAGATATTCCCTGTTTGATGTGATATTTAATGTAGAAAAATGATTAGAATAATTATGAGACACATTTGCAGTGAATCAGAGTGCTTGCTGAAAAAAAAATGATGTGCAAAATGTAGGTATTACTATGACACTTAGCATATACAGAGCTGTAAATGCGAAACTAATACACGTGGTCAGTTGCAGAGGAAATTAAGCGGAAAAGCCGTAAGCCTTAGAAGAAAGTGAGTGACCCCATATCAATTGGTGAATTTTCTTTAGGGCATAGATTGAGTTACAAAATACATGGAGTTTTACCCTGCTCGGAAAAACAAACCAAAATCTGGGTAGTCCCGGGATGCATTTTTGGTACATGTGGACTCTACTTGGCGATTCACTTGATAGGAAAAATTGTAATTTCCGAGATTCCTATTAATATTAAATGTAAATAAAATTGAAATAAAATCTACATATAAAAGAAATCAAGAATACTTGTATTTATATTTCGTTTTAGAGCAAGAAAATCGAATGCTGTTGACAAAAACTGAAGAAATAGCCAATGCAAGTTTTAATTAATTTTTATGCTCATCAGCACCTAGATTTAAAACAGAAAAAATGTAGTTTTTTTCCGATTCTTATTAGAATTTCATTGTATACATCAGAGACTCACCGTTACACTCTCAGGACACTTTCTTTGATGTGTCTTCTACTGCAATCCTTAAATTTCATGTCGATATATCATGTCGTTTGAGTTATACAAAATTTTTCTATGTTGGTATTGATTTTTTTTTTTCAAGAGAAAAAAAGGGGGAGAGGGTATATAAGTATTTGTTAAAGTGAGAGATGTAAATATGTCCACGAACTCAAGCTTGATTGTGACCTTTGGGTGAATGGGGTTAAAGGTCATTTATCGAGGTCAAAGGTCAAGGTCATAAAAAACTTTATAAACGTGAGTTTAACACTTGAAGCTGAATCAAGCTAAATATAATAAAGATTTTTCAACTATTGAGTAAGGGTCAAGGTCAAAGGTCAAGGTCAAATATCTAAGGTCAAGGTCATTTGGGGGAAAGACATATATAAGCAATTTTAGTACTTTTCCAATGACCTTGACCTTTTGATCTTGACGTAGTTTTATTTCTTATAATCGGAAATCGTTTTTTGTTTTGTTTTTGATGGGGTTGACATATTTCAAAACTACTGATTAGATGCAATAATGTAATGCAAAAAAAAAAAATGGAAGAAAAGTTGAAATTTTAGATTTTTTAAATCACTTCTTGTGACGACCGGAAGTGACGTCGGAGGCATTTATCCCTATATATCTGTAGCCTACTCTTCAAGGTTTATTATCCATATAAGTTTATTGTCTTGATCTGTTACCATTGCCAAGATCTGGCTATGCTTACTACTCAGTTTGAGGATTGGAAATCATGTGACCGGAAGTCAATTTTTAAAAAGATATTTGTAGTTACTCGAGACATTTGCAATCTGAATAACGTGTCTAAAATCATTTTAAATACTCATTCTATAAAATATATTTATGGGATAGTATGATACTCAATTTATAAACTTTTTCTCTCATAACCGGAAGTTGCTGTTTTTGTTTCTTTTGGGACGGACATATATCGGAACAACAATTAATATGTAATAGTGTGATGCCAAAAAGTATTCCAAAAAGAAAAGCTGAAATTTATGATTTTTTTATCACTTCCTGTGACGACCGGAAGTACGGCGGACGATCTTATCCTAACTGTTTTTGCCTACTCATCAAGATTAACCACTTCATCAAGGTTGGTGTCTTAATCTCTCACCGTTTACGACATCTAGCTATGATAACTTCTCATTTTGAGGACAGGAATTCACGCGACCGGAAGTGAGTTTTGCAAAAATTCTTGACGTTATTGTAGACAGTTGCAGTCTGAATAACATATCAAAAAAACATCACAAATACTTTATAAATAAATGATATTTATTGTAAAGAAAAATACTCAAATTATGTAGTTTCCCTCTTATAACCGGAAGTTGTCTTTTTTTGTTTCCGGTGGTACTGAATTTTTTCAAATCAACAAATAAGATACATATTGAGAAGCTAAAACAGTTTCATGAAAGAAAAGT